ATGCATTCAAGAAAGTCAACTCCCTACACAAGAATATCTCCCAGATTCTGTTCAACGTGTTCCTTTCATGAAAAATCTAAATAGCATTCAGCATTGCCTTCAAAAGTCAACAATAATGTACTATAATGTATTGTTATAGCCATTTTTGCTACTTCTTGAAAGAATTGCCTATTTCTGAACAAAACTTGACATATTTTTAGTGTCGTACTTAACACTTCTCTTTAAATTTTAAATATTTTGTAGAAATTGTAATAATCCACTTACCAAAGAAATTTACTGTAGGACACTTTTTAACTTCCTGGCTAAAAATGCACAATGGTACCTGTTATCCAGTGTACTCAGTCAGCCATGAATGCCTTTTTAGATGATGCTAGCTGTTGAAAACACTTGATAGCTTTTTCTGCTCTGTTTTCAAGTCTTTTTTTTTTTTTTTTTTTTTTTTTTTTTTTTTTTTTTTTTTAGTTCTTAGCAGAAGCAGATTCTTGTTCCCTTTCCTTCCTTGCTTACTCAGAAATATGGAGCTGTTGTCAGAGGAGTAGGTGGGTGGGGCAGCAGTGCAGGGCTCAAAGGACATACTCAGCAATATCTCCACAGCCTTTTCATCACCTGCCCTCCTTGACCAATCAGGACTTCATCAGGAAATATGTCCCCCTCTTCTCTCCACCCCTAAATACAATTGCATCTTTTTGAGCCAGCTAGTAATTATAGGAGCTCTCTTGAAAGAGGCCAGATGCTGTCATGCATTTATGCTTTACTGGGGAGGGCCTCACTAACGTGGGGCATCTAGGCACTTTCTTTATGCGCTCTCAGCGTCAAAGTTGCTGATCACAGCATGAAAGCTCATTAGCATTTTAAGAGATTTTAATAACAGTTCTTAGACAATAGAAATGGGACAGGTTTCATCAGTAATGCCAAACTTGAATCTCTCTGGTGCTAATTCAATCCTTGCTTCAATAAGAGACTAATTCTCCTACGAGGGACAGGGAAATACATAAATTGTGCCTGGTAAATGGAGAGAATTTCATAGTCGTGGCGTTCTCCCCTGGGTTTTCATTGCTCTTTGTCTGCATGTCTCTCAGGGCACTGGAAACGCTCTGCTTTGCAGTTCACAATAGCTGCTTCACATTTGCCAGGGATCTGTCCAGAGATCTTGGTGAATACCCAGCATTTCTTGTACCCTTGCAGCACTGAGCCTCATTCCTGGGAGGTCAAATGACCTGCGTCATTAGCTGTGTGAGGCAAGCATTACAAGTGCAGATTGATGCCTTTGCAAAATGGCTCCCTCACCCATATCCAGAGTTGTTAGGAACCATCAGAGCCTTAGGAACCATAGCCTGGAATGTAGAGATTTCCCGGACGGGTTTTAAGCACACACATGTGTCTCTTCTTATAATTGTAAACTTCTGGTGATAACGAGCCTGTCTGTTCACCTTTGAATCCTCTGAAAATGCAGCACAGGTTGCTGGTGAGGGAAGAAAGAAAAGCTGTCCCTGTGTCTGCTCCTGTCCCTGTCTATTCCGCTGTGCTGGAATAAAATGATTCCCCTTATTTGTTCAGGTTCTTTACTTCTTCATGAAAGCTTTGTTTTTGAATAAAGAAACATATTTGGATGGGTAATTAGATAGAAGTCATTCCTGTTAATTCAGTATAGATTTTATTTAAAAATGCCTAAGGTTTAATCCTTTTTAAAAAATCAAAGGTTTTGAAAATGTTCTTGCCATCATTGTTTGCTAAGAAAGCTGCATTTCCTGGTGACAGTGAACGCTTTGTCAGGTCTCCATGAAATAGGCTTTCCCTTTGGCGCCGCGCCCTGGTCCTCTCCAGGGGCCGCCCCCTGCTCTGAGACTCAGGCTTCAGCTGCTTTCTTTTAGTGTCCAGAGAGCCTGCTCCACCACCTGCTGTCTCCTGGTCACCTTCCCTGCTCCTTGTCACCTCCGAATCCCAACACAAACTGGGTTTGTAAAAGCTGGATAGGTGGGAGTGGGGCTTAATCCAAATAAACAGCGGGGACATTACAGTGGATCACAGGGACTCAGTTAATTAGCCCTCTGAGGAGTCATCCATCCATGTGAAAATGCACAAGGAGGTGAAAATGCCTTTGTTTTAGCCCCTTCCAAGACTTCCTTCTTAGAGAGCCCTGGAGTCAGGCAGGACACTGGCAGAGAACTGTTATAAAACTTACTCAAATTAGTTCAAGAGAGGGACTTGGTAGAAGGCTGTTACCCACCCCTGAGAAAGCTGAGCAGGCGGCCTGGGGGAGGGTGGCACCAAGGCAGGCATGTCAGGCAGGACCTCAGCAGTGGGTGTGGGGCCTGCGCACTGCCCACCCCTCCAGGCTAAGTGTTGGGAGGTGAGGCGGTTGCTGCCCGACCAGCCAGCGGCCGCCTGAGGGTGTGGGCCTGCCCCGGTCTGGGCTGGGAGATTTAGACATGCAGGTGAGCTGGTGACTACCCACAGTCCACCTCCTCTCTAGTAATCTAGGGGCAAGCAGTGATCGAAAGGGGTCTTCCCACTCATCTTTTAAGATACCACTTTCCAAAACATGGCACCCCTCTCATCTTTATGCCATTAAGAATGCGGCTGATGTGAATTTAATTTGGATCTTGTGTTCCCTTGACTAACAACTGTCAGTCTAAGAAGGGTTGGATTAGCAGAGGAACAGACTTGGAATGGATTATTGAGTAAAAGACCTCTTCTAGCCATTGTACATTCAACAATTCAAAAAAATGTCAGTCACTCATGTCAAGGCCCTATTTTCCTTTGTCAGGAAAGACTCTGATAACTAATACTGAGTTAGTGTTACATGTCAGTGGCTGTGCTAAATGATTTTACATGTATGAGCTCATTTTAATTCTTTAGCAAGTCTCTGAGCTAGGTGCTGCTTCTGTCTCCTGCGTTCAGAGCAAAAAATAAGACTTGGAAAGTTTAAGCAACTTTTCAAAAAAAAAAAAGATTATTTGAGTAAATGTAAGTGTGAAATACATGAAAAACATATGTGGTGGGAAACAAATTGGGCAGCTAGGCAGGGGACGAATCACGGCCTGAATGCCATACTGGAGATAACAGACACCCCCTGAGGCTTTTGGGTCCTGGGGCTGATATCAGACCTGTCCTGTGGAAGTTTCCCTGGCAGTTACGCAGGCCGTGGGTGAGCCTGAACATAACTAAGGGGCCTTTGATGAGGTGCCTAGACAGACCCCAGGAGGACCTTGGACTAGGTGGGAGCTGTGGAAACAAATGGAGTAGAGAATGTTGTGGTTTTCTTTTCTGCTCCCCTGTACGTCCCCTCTACGGGCCTTGGTTTTAAACGGCCTAGCTTGCATAAACATTCTAGCATACAAATTCTAGCAAAATAAGACTCCTGCTTAATTTGGAGTTGCCTTGATTTCAGCGGCTATAAATAAATACATACATATATACATACTAATTTTTGAGAAACTGATTGTCCACCCATTATCTTGTGTTGTGAGGAGGCAGAGCGACTGAATTCCACGGAGTCAGGGGTTCAGCTGAGTGCAGCGTTTCCATCAGGTCGGGGGTGGCCAGGAAGGTACCCACACGCCCACCCATGTTCCTGCACTCATGGCTACTTGCCATGTCAGATGGAAGGAGACAAAACCCTGTGAGAAGTGTGTTTGCCACTCAGGACAGGCGCTGATTGGGTGGTTCTCAGCACTGCATTTCCGTGGCATCGGGCTTCCTGATGGCACACTGCTGCCTGGTGTGGACCTGGAATCTGAGAAAACAGCCCAATGTTTACCTGTCTCTTATTCTTGAGGCTCGTGTTTTGTTCCAGGAGAACTTCCGGATGATCCTGTTTGGAGAAATGTTTATAAGTATCGGGCTGTCCTGGGTTTTGAGCCAAACTCAGCATCTGTGAAGGTCTCCACTTCCCGGGAAGACACCCAGTGTCTCCGACTTGTGGGCACGCTGGGAAGGGCGGTTCCCTGCCCGGGACCTGCGTCACTTATGCTTTCATGTATGAATTAAGGACTGTGTGTCCAGACACCGTGCTGCATATGGTGGATGCAGTGATGAAGGAGGCACAGCCATGATGGGGCAGAAGCTAGCAGGACAGTTTGGGCACAGAAGCAAGTGTGTAAGAACACCAGTACAAAAACTGGTGACGAGGCTTGTCAGTATTCGGTAGGTCCCTTGACCTTGTGAGCTCCTGAAAGGAATAATCGGAAGGAAGAAAGGATATTAAAGATCAAAGAGAACAGTTTGAGTTTAAAAGCCTAAGAGCTCTTGGTGATTAAAAAAAAAATTCTGTAAGCCTTACGGAATAATACCCTTACTATGAATAATATTCATAATATGAAATTTTCAGTTTGCCTAAGAATTAGCGATATTTCTGTGTTCGAAAGGGAACGTCAGCTTTTTGTTAAGTTGCAGCCTACCTCTTAGTTTTGTCTTTTATTTCCTTCTGACTCCTAGTAATGAAAATGCTTACGGTGCTCAAGAGGAATCCCTGCTGTCCCAGGGTCTGTGGAGACAAGGGTGGAGCCAGGGCTGCTCTCCACGCTGAATCCACAGGAGGGTGTGGGAGGGGATGCAGCCTTGGGCTGGGGCTGGAGTGCTGAGAAGGGCGTAACCTCAGCAGGGACTCCCTGCGGTCAGCCCGAGGGCTCGTGTGGGATCTGGGGACTCGTGGAGCTTCTTGGAATTATCTGTGGTTCTGAGTCTTATTTTACCTGTCATAAGTACCTTGTACAGCTGTGATGCCTTGTAAGCCTCCTTTATTTCATTGAGGGCAAAAGTAAGATAATAGCAAAGAGAGGAACACACTGTCAATTTTCCTGATATCTAATTCTAATTGAAAATATTACATCTAAGGGAAAAAAATGCATTAATGTGGTGTATGTCGGGAGGTAGGATGAAACGAAAGGCGATCTTGCCTCTATTTCTGCATCATTTTATATTTTTATATTCTTTAAGCATTTTCATTATGTACAGATTTGTAAATTTTTTCTGATAAACTGGTCACTCTCCTCTTTCAGCAGATTTCTGCACATGGCAGATCTTCCTCCAACATAAATGGTGGACCTGAACTTGATCGTTGCATGAGTCCTGAAGGTAGTTCTCAATCTGATGATTATTTTTATAAAGGAAGTCATCTATGTGAACGCGGTGGCCACCCAACATCCACTTGTGCTAAATTACGATCTTTATACACAGGAATGTGATCATGTCACTAATTAAGCTTTTATCCTTAGTTGACAGATTGTGTCAAGATATGAGTATATAAAATCTCATTGTTAAATGAAGCTCTCCCAATTTCAAGTTTTAGACTTGGGCTTCCGGTAGTTTTCCTTTGTGGCAATCTTCTCACAGTTCCTAAATGTGGACTTTGCTTTCTCTCAACTAGTTAACAGAAGTGTCTTTCTTTATTTGATGTCTGCAATATACTGGACACTGTGGATGCACTGTGAGAGTAGTTGATCTTAACTACTTCCTTCTCCTGCCTCCCACTCCCCACACACACCACCACCACCACCACCATCACCACCATCACCACCACCATCGCCACCACTGCCATATGTATCTAAGGCTGGGGACTACATTTCTCAGAATCTCTTTCCTTGTGCAGTTTTG